TCACTGGTGCTGCAGCTGGGTGGAATGGCTTGAAATAGAACAGTTACACATCTCTTCCCATAGAAGACTCAAACAGTGGTGCCTCGCTTAACGAGCGCTTCGTTTAACAATGAATTCGCTTAGCGATGACTTTTTGGGAGCGTTTTTGCGCTCCGTTTAATGATGGTCCCTATGGGCGATTTTCGCTTAGAGATGTTGTGACCATGCTTCGCATAACGATTAAATTTTTGGGTCCCTTGTTTTGCTTAACAATGGTTTAAACAGCCTCGTGTTTGCTGTTTTTTAAATGTTATATAGTTAAAGTTTACTGTTTAAAATGTTTGAAATCATAAAGTGCACTTAATAAACCCTTTGTTAACCAAATTTGACTTTGTTCTGACTCTTTTTAAATTTGTGGTTGAATTTTTTCCCCCACTGAGATGCATTGAATAGGTTTCAATGCATTTCAACTGGGGAACTGCGTTTCACTTAGCAATGTTTCCTATGGCGATTTTCGCTTAAGGACAGCAATTCGTTCCTATTGGAATGGATTATCTGGTTTTCAATGCATTTCAATGGGAAACTGTGTTTCGCTTAGCGATGTTTTCACTTAGCGATTAATTTTTTTGAACCAATTAAAATCGTTAAGCGAGGCACCACTGTATATATATCAGCACAAGCAATCACATCAGTGAACCAGTGAGAATGCACTTGCTGGGGGAAAAAGCCCCAGCAGGAGAGGGGAAAAATGGATTAGGGGGAAAACTCTGGGCTGATTTGAATTGACTTAATTGACTTGTACGCCATATAGTCAGCAGAAAATAATATGAGTGTAACCATTCCAATCCCAGAGCAATTCCCATATTATTTGCTAATGCAGTCCCCCCACCCCCAAGAGACATCTGAATAGTGAGTGCTGGAGAAAATGCCATTATGCTCTGCCCACAGTAGCTAAATCTGGCACAACTAACTAAAATGGTTTTTGACTAGAGTAGGGTGGACTCAGTTCATTAATCTTCACTGCCTCCTCCTGAATTTTATTTTGGTTTGAGAGTCTACCAGAGTTTGCAAACTTCTTCACGCAGGGGACAGAAACAACATGAGGTTTTAAAAAAGAACGGTGTCTAAAGCCTATGTTCCACCACTAAGCATCCAGCCTTTCTTGTTTGCTGTGTAAGCAAGCAGAGGATTATGGTAAGCATCTGTGGCTTTCTAGATTACTACCCAGAAGGACAAACAAACAAACAAATCCTAGAATAATACTGCATAAAGACTAAAACAACTTCCAATGCCATTTTGTCTTTGCAGATAAATATGCCAGCAAAAAGATTAAGCATCTGGAGTTGACAAGCCTACTCATAGCTGAGAATTTGTTCTTCTGGGAATTTCTCACTCACTGATGGATTTGGGTCTCTTATTTCAGGAAAAACTCAATGGTCCTATAATAGGATTTGGAATATACCCAGATGTTGGAGTAAAACTCCCATCATCCCTCATCAGCATAGGAAATGCTGAGGAATAATGGGAGTTGGAGTCCAATAAAATCTGGAAGCCCCAAAGCTGTCTATCACACCATACAGTATTGTCGTTGTTGTTTAGTTGTTAAGTCATGTCTGACTCTTCGTGACCCCATGGACCAAAGCGCGCCAGGCCCTCCTGTCTTCCACTGCCTCCCGGAATTTGGTCATATTCATGTTGGTAGCTTTGGTAACACTGTCCAACCATCTCATCCTCTGTTGTCCCCTTCTCCTCCTGCCTTCACACTTTCCCAACATCAGGGTCTTTTCCAGGGAGTCTTCTCTTCTCATGAGATGGCCTGTTCTAAAGGGCCACTGCCCTTATCTTTACTAGTTTACATTGTTACACCAGCCTGAACATTCATGATGCTCTCCTATGATTCTGATTTCCTTACAAGTTGTGTTTAATATATTTTTGTGGGCTTGATTAATATTATAAAGGGTCACATCAGTTGCAAAACCTGGCCAAACTACTATTATCCCAGAAAAGACATGTTCATCTTCACAGTTTTTAAGAACACCTCCTATGAAGTGATACAACGCGCAAATATTTACAATTCATCAATTGCAGTATCAAGCTACAACTTGCATAAGCATGAATGAGTCATCACAGATCAAGAACCAGATAGAAATTTCATATTATTCCATCACAACACAAAGCAACCCTTCCCTCTTACCCTTTCCCAAGGGTTTATGTATTCCACAGAAGGGCAGAGTGTGATTTAGCCATGAAGCAACATGAATATGACTTAGTCATTGAAAAGAAACATATCCAACAGTTCATTTTTTAAAAAATAGTTGAGATTTACAAGAGACATGAGATTGTGCTTTCATTTTTGCACCTGGGAACAACTGCATACACAAATCTGTGAGCCAGGAATCTTTTATTTTTGACTAATTAATTAACTGAACCTCAATAACTGAAAAGAAAACCTCATTTGGGGGAGGCAAAGTCTATAGCTTTAGATGTGTGAATATGTAGTGGCAGGAGACAACTTAGAAGCAGCTATCCTGTTTTTATCTCTGTGTGTTACTGTGTTTAAAAAAAATCAAATAGGCTAAGAGAAAAATATAGAAAACTGCATTTGAAGATCTGTTTTGGGAATCACAGAATAGTGGAATTGGAAAGAGCCTATGAGTAGAGGTGGGCAGGAACCTCGGCACCACATTCTGTTTCCCAGCCTCCCTGGCTGGATCTCCCAATCACAAGCCAGTGTGTGTCCCTCTCCTCCTCCCCTTCAGCTATTCAGCCAGTCTCCAGCAAGAGGAGGGACTTCCCTGCCCCACCTCCTTGGCTGATTGCCCACTTAGAAAAGGAGGTGGGGCAGAGAAGCCCATGCTCCTGCCAGGGACTGGTCAAACAGCCAAAGAGACAGAGGAGGAGAGTGCACACCTGTGGGTGAATCGGTCATTGGCTGGGGAGGTGCCACACATACAAACCATCATGAATCTCCAAACTGAGCTTCATGCCCATTTCTACTGAATCCAACTCCTGTGAGTAATACTACACACATCATAGATACAAACATCAATTCCAGTGGGGAAATAATATGTATCTTCTGTAGACACTAGAAAGAAAAATGTAAAATCTCAACTATTTTTAAAAAATGAACTGCTGGATATGTTACTTTTCAACCAATCTGTCTCCCCAATTTTTACTGAAATAGCAGTTAGACTTTTACTGAATGATCACAAAATCATACTCCAGAGAATGCTCATTTCACTATCTGTGTCCGCATCCATTGGGCAATACTGAGATAAATACAATTTTCCTTCCAATCCTATACGTTTGTTTCAATGCTTCATTCATTCATTCATTCATTCATTCATTCATTCATTCATTCATTCATTCATTCATTCATTCATTTTGTCCTTTCACCCTTTCAGGACTAAGAGCAACAATCTGAGTAATGACCTGCAGTTATGAGAAGAGACTTCTTACTTATTTTAATTATCTCCTTAATTTATACCCACTCTTCAGACAAAAGGATTCCCTGAGTGGCTTATAAAGATAGAATAACAGAAACCAGACATCTGTGATGAAAAGCACAACAATTACTGTATTAGTCTTAGGCTGTGGCTACATGGTCATATACTGTGGGATTTGCTACAGGTGTAAAACAGATGAATGCCTTCCCCCCCCCTTTTTTTTCCCTGATCACATGACGCAAAGGGCAATTCGAATCAGTTCAGCCCTTTTTCTCTTAAAGTGGATTTCTTTTTCTCTGCTGCTGGCAGATTCTCTTTTTTCAAGCTGGAATGATTCAGCCAAGCTTTTCTTAGTGAGATCAGTTGTTCTGTTCTCCAAAAGGACAGAGGGCATGACTGTGGGTGGTATTCTGGTGATGTACTAAGTTTTTGGACAGTGGGAACACCCACCCCCATGATCTTTCTCCCTAGTCACCCTGATGGTTTTCTCTTTCTCTTTAACTACCACGTTTAGCGCTAGATCGCCTATCCCCACATCAATATACTATCTTAGCACTAAATCACTTCTGCATGGATAAAAAATTATATATAATTTGATGTAAAATAAAAACAACTTCAACAAACTATTGTAGATTACTGTGTTTCTGCAGTATGTGTTTATTTATTTATTTATTTATTTCATTTGTATCCCGCCCATCTGGTCTATGCGACCACTCTGAGCAGCTTTGTAATATTTGTATATTCATTGTTTTAAGTTTTGTCTTTTAATAATGCAAGTCGGGACCCTAAAGTTCTAAAGTTCTCCATAATGTTATGTGAGAACATTATGGAGAACTTTAGAAAACAGTCCTCTTCTCTAGCACCACACAACAGTTTAAACAGCCCACTGGCTTTACAATGAACTGTAAAAGGAGACCCAGGGATCTACAGAGGACAGGTTGAAAGAAAGAGGGGCAGTGGCATGGATCAAATTACATCAGACCACAGGATCATAGGATAATTGAACTGGAAGGGCCTGTAAGGCCATTGGGTCCAACCCCTTGTTCAATGCAAGAATCCAAGTCAAAGCAGATCTGACAGATGGCTAATTTTCTCTTGAATGCCTCCAGCACTGAAGGCATTACAGATTGAGGGACCAATAGTGAAACAATCCTCCTCTCCATATGATTACCCAATCCGAACCAAAAGGTAAAATAGTCTGCAGATCATTGTCTGTGAGTGTAATTGCAACCTCAGTCATCCACCAAACTGATGCAAGATTTGCATCCCATGATCTAAATCCAATGCCTCTTTCTAGCTTTCTTCCACTCCACTCCCCCTTTTAGCCCTCCATGCCCTGTGAAAAACAGGGCAGCAAGCTTCCTCTATCCTGTAGAGCAGGCTTTGAGGATGTGCAGGGTAGAGGGGTAACGGGTAACTGCTCTTTGTCCCTTCCAACTGAAGGAAAGAGTTCTGTTACTGGTGTGATAGCACTGCCCAAAAACTCCAAAAGTCTGGTCCTATGACAGCGTGGAATTTTATGAAGTGCCTAGAAAACGGGTTGGTAGCAACTTGCCCCCACTGCTCAAGGCTTACCAAACGGTTCCAGTCAATCGCGATTCTGTCTCTGTAGTTCAAGAGAAAAACGCTGAGGAAGGTGATGGACGAGAAACAGGCCGTCACCGATACAAACATCACCCAGCCCTGTAGCAGCGGCAAAGGGACTTTGGTGGCCGCAACCAAAATCCAGACGAGCGCTCCAAAAAGCTGTACGAAGAGGGGGAGAAAAAGAAGAAAACATTAAAAGATATTTCAACTTCAAAGGAGAAATATAGCTATTTATATCTATGTCTAGATCTTTTCCTTGTGTACAAGTATGGGGGGAGAGGGAAGGGTGCACATGCATATATAAATTGTTCTGAGAACTACAAAATCATACCGCATTTATTTAAAAAGTAAAATTTCTGTGATCTAAGAACACCAGCATTCGCTTGTTATTTGGAACAGCTCTGACTCACTGAAACACTCACTTTTGTAACGTATGCCAAAAAACCAAGACTGGAAGTAACATGTCACTGGTGACATTGCTACCTTTTCAAGTCTTAAAAATATTGTACAGACTGGTGACATCATGACAATTATGACAGCATGGACAATGTTTATTTGTTACCTTCAGAACATTGTTGTAGGGGATTTTTGTCATTTCTGTAAGAGATTTTTTTTCAAGTAGAAGCAATTAAATTTTTTTCCCCAGACGCACTGAAAGTAACTAAAACGAGAATCAAACTAAAAAGCAATGCATTACTAATGTGTGCATAAAGTAATGATTAACAGCAAATGCAGCATAGCTCTTACACACCTTTTGAAAAGTAATGAGTAACGATTATGCATTAGGGTGGTTTATTTTCTCCCAGATAAGGGTTCTTCTAGGCGTACATTAAGAAGGGGTGGCATGGATAGAAGAGTGTTTATTGTGATGTCTGGGAGAGAGGTCAAAGAGCAATATTTTACTACTCTTTTTTATCACACTTCCTAGGCAAAAAAATAAAAGTCAACTTATCTACAGGTTACACTAATTCAAATTGGCCTACTCTAGCTGCATCTTACTTCAGTGTAAGGTAAAGGTAAAGGTTCCCCTTGACATTTAGTCGAATCATGTCCGACTCTAGGGGCGGTGCTAATCCCCATTTCCAAGCCGTAGAGCCAGCGTTTGTCCGAAGACAGTTTCTGTGGTCACGTGGCCAGCATGACTAGAACGGTGTTACCTTCCCACTGTGGTGGTACCTATTTTTCCACTCGCATTTTTACATGCTTTTGAACTGCTAGGTTGGCAGGAGCTGGGACAAGCGACGGGAGCTCACTCCGTTGCATGGATTCGATCGTAGGCCTGCCAGTCCTCCGACCTTGCAGCACAGAGGCTTCTGCAGTTTAACCTGCAGTGCCACCATGTCCCTACTTCAGTGTAGCAAGCTGCAACTAGGGTAGGCTCATTTGAATCAATGGAACTTGATTCCATTGGAATCAGGGAACAGCTGACTTACCAATTCCCCATTGATTCAATGGGCCTAATCTAGTGCTACACTAAGCAACAGGATTTCAGTTTGCAGGACTTATTTTTGATTAGGCATGTGTATGGTTCTAGTCTAAATCTCCCCCACAAAAATGCTTATATACAGCATTTGAAGCACTTAAATGGTTTAAATTTAATTGTTTACAGTATACAATTTAATCGTCCAGGCTACACATCCCTCCTCCCGCCCCAGTGAGGTGGGTACTCATTTTACCAACCCTGGAAGGATGGAAGGCTGAGACCATCTCAAGCTGGCTACCTGGGATTGAACCCAGATCATGAGCAGAATTTTGGCTGAAGTACTGCAGTTTAACCATGAGGCTCTTAGGTGCCTTTTAATAACATCTCGGCACTGCAGAGGTGGAAGGGACCCCAATGGATCACTGAATCTAGCTCTTGTCGAGGAAGCAGAGTGGGGGAATCAATTCACAACCTCTGGCTCCTTAGCCAGATACCTAAATCATGGAGCTACCCAGCTGTTCTTAAACCAGATATGAGAACCATGTGGTTCTCCAGCTATTACTGGACCTTCAATTCTTCTCACAGCCAGCCTAGCCAATGGTTAGAGCTAAAGCCCACTAACATCTGGAGTGTGACATTCCCCACACCTATTTTAAACCTTTTCATCTGGTTTACAGAAGCACACACACACAATTTATTTCACCATTTTTTATACGGGGCTGATACACAAACTGAAAGAAACCATTTTGGTCAGAAAGAAATGACTTCAAAAAGTCATCAGTCAGTCCTGTGACCAAATGGTCTACCTTTGTTTTGTTTTGTTTTGTTTTGTTTTTTAAACTAACTATTTTAACCTTCTCATTTTGTTCCCTCTTATCCTACCGGAACAGGATTTTATAGTTATCTGCATAATCAAATGCCAAAAAGGTTAGTAAAAGGAAATGAAAACAAGCTGCTAAATACTAATGATAAACATAACTAAGCTAAGCATGAGCAAGTAAAATAATGAAGAAATAAATGTCTTTTGAAAACTTATAAAGCAGCATTTTCATTTTAAAAGCCGTCCTCCTCCCAGAATGGACAGTCTGCCTAAAGACAAGACAGTATCTGAAATGAAAGTGAAATTTCCAAATATTTGGCATCGCTAGCTTAAAAATTAATTATGGGAAAACAATCGTCTTGGCAAACAGTGCAGCTGTTATGTAAGCCCCACTGAGTACAACAGGCATTTCTTTCCACTCTTCGTGCATTCAGGCCTGCCGTCTGCTTTTAAGTGGGGAAAAGCCAGAATGATTATAATGGATCCGATCCCTTTTTCCTGGTCAGGGGTCTGAAGACCCTGACTCACTGCAAACTATCTCAGGCCTTTTAGCAGGATGTGGGGAACTCTTCTGGAAAGCGGAAGGGAAGAATACCTTGCTTGTGCCAGGCTAAAACAGCTAATTTTTTGCAAACATCCAATTTTGCAAGCCCCTAAAAATTAAGCGCCTCTCCTACGATCTTCCTACAGAAAAGCTTTGAAAGGGTGTAAGAGTTGTCTGGGCATGCGCACATGTACATGTGTCCGTTGCCACAGAAACAGGACCAACAAACCCAGTCACATTGTGACAAAAAAAAACAAAAAACACACCACCCGAACTCTGCAGAAAGCTAGGGAACATTCGCTTGGTTGACTCAGCACTGGGAACATTCAAAGAAGACAATGTGTTGGCCCTCCGTCCTCTTGCTGAACTGCCAAATGGCTTTGGTTACAGAGAGAAGGAAAATCATCAGGTTCATCTCTGTTATCCCTGATTGGTTGGGATGAGTCAGGGATGATGAAAAGATTGGTGCTGAAGGAACAGCAAAGAAGGTGGAAAACACAGAAGCTCCACAGAGACACTCCACAGAGATACATTTGAATTAGGAGACATACCGTATTGAGCCTTTTGAAAGCCCCATGTCTCCACAAGTACTTTTGCAGACAAAAATTAACATGCAATCCCAGAGTCATTTCTATGTCACTTTCCCCTTATGGGCTGGCTACTGAATTAGGTATCTTGCTGCAGAGTGAGATGTTGGGAGTGCAATTCTTCAGTTTGCCTCCCAGGAAAACTGCCAGCCTATGTAGCCCTGAAAATGCTACACAATGCCAGGGCGCCCCTAGAACAAGGGACTGGGAAACCTGAATACTCTCTACCTGGTATATCCTGCCAAGGTTTGCCCTACCTGAGGACTGACTTGATGGCACATAATTACCATCTTTTTCCATGTATAAGACCCCCCCCTTTTCTAATCCAAAATTAAGAAAACTAAGTGGGGCTTAGCAAGTGCAGGAGAAAAGGGATCAAAGCACTGCAGGATCGCTTTGATCCCTGCTTTCCCTTCCACTTGTTTTTGTTCTTTTCTCAGCTTACTTCCATGTATTAGACGACCCTCAATTTTAGTCTAAAGATTTTAGACAAAAGTACAGTCTTATTAGGTTTTACTTTCTTGGGCTCTATGATCACTGCAGATGGAGACAGCAGCCACGAAATTAAAAGACGCCTGCTTCTTGGGAGGAAAGTGATGACAAACCTTGACAGCACCTTAAAAAGCAGAGACATCATCTTGCCAACAAAAGTCCGCACAGTCATAGCTATGGTTTTTCCTGTAGTGATGTATGGAAGTGAGAGCTGGACCATAAAGAAAGCTGACCGCCGAAGAATTGATGCCTTTGAATTGTGGTGCTGGAGGAGGCTCTTGAGAGTCCCCTGGACTGCGAGGAGAACAAACCTATCAATTCTAAAGGAAATCAACCCTGAGTGTTCACTGGAAGGACAGATCCTGAAGCTGAGGCTCCAGTACTTTGGCCATCTCATGAGAAGACTCCTTGGAAAAGACCTTGATGTTGGGAATGTGTGAAGGCACTTTGACCCAACTCTGGGAGGCAGTGGAAGGCAGGAGGGCCTGGCGTGCTCTGGTCCATGGGGTCACGAAGAGTCGGACACGACTAGACGACTAGACGACGATAGTCTTATATACAGAAAATACGGTATTATTATTATTGTTTCCCCTACGGAATTGAGAATGATGTTTGTCTGAAGGCAGTCTCCTACTTAGGACCCAGTGAGACCCTGTCCTTAAGCCAAACCTCAATTTGTCCAGAAGGGCCAATGTCCAAAACACAAGACTTCAGTGACACATTTAGGAAGGGGTCAAGTCACTACAAGCCCGGAGGGGTTATGATGCTGGACTGGAACTTAGGAGACTCCACTGAGCCATGAAAATCACTGTATGACCTTGGGCCAGTTACACTTTCTCAACTTGACCTATCCCATTCTACTACTGTGGGGATAAAGATGTGGAAAGCTGTATTTATGACTTTTGAGCTCAACGGAGGAAAAACTGAGTATAATAAACAAATAAAGCAGCAGAACCAAGAAGCAGAATTTGCCCACTCTGCTCTGGATTGTGTTTGGAAGTGCTATCAAGTTGCTGACAATTTATGATGACCCTAATGGAGCTCTCAAGGTAAATGAGATAATGGCGCATTGGTTTGACCATTGCCACCCCCTAGTGAGCTACGACGGTTGAGTGGGGATTCGAACCCAGATCCTGAGTTCTAGTCTGAATATTCTATTCATTACATCAGACTGGCTCTCAACTTTTCTATACATGCCTGTTTGTGGCACATTCAAAGACTTCCACTACACCACACCATCTAGCTCCACTCTAGATTGAACTGTAGAAAGCTTATCTCACTTAGCTTTTCTAGCGCTTGTCCTTAATGCAGTTAAGGTCACAAAGCAGCAGGGGCCTGGACACAGCCCACAGCTATGTTTGCTGAATGTGGAAATCGAATGGAATTCAGGAAGGAGCAGAGATGATACGGAAGAAGCAGTATGCATAATAACAGGGAAAGCCATTTCAGTAGAGAGCAGTGTGTTTGAGAAAAATGCAGGACATGGAATCATTCACAAAGAGGAGATGAAGGAAGAAGTCTTGCTAATGCCATCCCTGGTAAGGATCTGGTGGCTTAATAAGCCGTATATACAGTAGGCATAAATTGAGAAGATTATGATCTTCCACGAGCTACCATCTTGTACCTGGACAGAAATCAGCACCTGCAACGTCTGTATGTTACTCACTCCTTACAGGAGCCAAAAGAAAGAGGACGGCAACTCCATGGTTGTCACCCAGTGTTAGGCGAGTCTTCAGGAGTGCAGTGTGATTACAACCTGTACCAACAAGATAGGATGTCAACATCAGAACCCAAATACCTTTGGAGCCTTGCCTGTAAACAAAGCTGGCTAACCTCAAATGGAAGGGGTGTGTGAACTGGTAAGGGAACTACAGTGTTGAAGAGGGTGTGTGTATGTGTGTGCGAGGGTGTGTGTTTGTGTGTGTGTGAGAGAGAGAAAGAGAAAGACTTCTGACTTATGGTGACTCTATGACTTAACTGACTTGCAGAAGGTCCTATCTTAATGGCCTTTGCAGACAATAGGCTGGGCTGTGTAGTAGGGATGGATTTAAAACCAGTAAAAATAAGAGATTGTATATAATGGCTACTTTGCTGAAGAGACAAGCACAGGCTTTGTAAACACAATGTCCTACATTCAAGGCATCAAGGAAGGGAAGGCCAGTGCCTTCAAATGAGATGCTGTAGGTTTCCACAGTGTGGCTAGGCCTGGCCAAATCACACCCTTCCAGATGTCCTCTGACTTCAACTCCCAGCATTCCTGTGCTGGTGGGGAAGATGGAAGTTGCAGTCCAAGTACATCTGGAAGGCCATACATTGTCATCTCTCCAGAGTCAGATCATCAAAGTGGGCAAGGCTAAGAAGCATAAGAATCTTCAATAATGAAGTTCTCTAGTACTAATGATAATAATGCCATTTTCACTTTACTAGTAATGAAATTCATTATTTAACCCACCTAAGCATGCCGTCTTGGTCTGAAAAAGAGTTCTCAAGAAGCGGAAAGCTTCCTGCATTTTGAGACTAACAGTAATCCAATAAATAAATAATAATCATGGGCTCTCAAGGCAATTCTGAGTTATGGAGACCCTTTCCAGGGTTTTCCAAGTATAGAGAATACTCAGAAGTGGTTTACCATCCCCTTCCTCTGGGGGCGCCCTGGGACTGTGGTGCTTGCCCAAGGTCACCCAGGCTGGCTCTACTTGCAAGAGGCCCAGGGGAGAATTCGAACTCCCAACCTCTGTCTCCACAGCCAGAGACCTAAACCACTGAGTTATCCAGCCAGTACCTCTATAACAATCCAATAAAAGTGTTACTCAAAACAGTATTTTGTTTGTAAGCATCCCATGGTTACTTTTGCTCTGGTGTTGTTTCATAGTTATTCGTCACATTGATATTTCATGCTATTGATATTTCCAATGTGCCCAAAGATGGGAACCTAGTTACCTCCTGCCCATTCTGTCCTCAAAACAACAACCCTGTGAGGCAGGTCAAGCTGGGAGAGTGGCTATTCCAATATCACCTGGTAAGTTTCATGAGACTCAGGGTGGACTGAGATCTGGTTCTCCACAGTCCCAGTAACTTATTCTTCCACCAGCTTTCTGTGAATATGTCTCTGGTGATACTGTAGACATTTAATTCTGCAAACTCCTCTACGTACTAGGCAACAGTATCCACCACAGTATGAAAAACAGCAGTACTAAACAAGGCAGAGGGACACAGGATAAAACCTATAGTGGATCACAAGACTGGATTTTCCTACTTGACTAACTCCAATCATTGACAGGCACAAATCCAACAGGTGCATCTTTCGAAGCAGCACCCGCTCCCCTACCCGGTCACAGAACTCCAGATGGTGAATACAGGAGATTCTTTGAGGAGAAGGCATTTGCGTGGGACCAGTATCACAAGGAAGAAATCATTAACTGGCCATTCTAGGAATAATGGGATTCTGGCGCGGGGCCCGGTGGTGGTGGTGGTGGTGTAAGAATTAGGACGTCACTCGATAAATAAAGGGAACAATTCGACTTTTTAACAAAATCACCCTATATTCCCGCCTCTAAAATAATATCAGAGTGGGTTTAGGATAAAAGAAAAACGCGAGCACTCAATGGACGGAGAGTAATTGCTAGTGGACTGAATGGCCCCGATCCGATTTCTAGCTGCAGACAGAGGAGACCCATTGAACTAAAGGCGTTTGTACTCGGCCACCTACCATCGTCTCCGCGAGTCTGCCCTATCTGGGGACTTAGGCCCGAAAGCTGACTCCCGAGGAGGACCGCTCGGGGACTCTATTTCCCCCATACACACACACTTGTTGCTCTCCTCGCCTCGCCCCCCTCGGCTCACTTACGATCTCCAGGCAGATGAAGGCCCCCGAGTAGGTGCGCAGGATCTCCAAGCCGGCCGGGAGGGTGACGCGCGGCGGGGGGTAATAGGCGGT